GTGTGTGTGTGTGTGTGTTGGCTCTACACCTCAGCCATGGTCCTGACTCGTGGTGTGTGTGTGTGTGTGTCTGCGCACACTTCTTGCTGCTTTTATCAGTCTATATCTCCTAGTTACATTTTCTGTTGATGACAGCCAAGGATGCCAGTGTTCTATGGTTCTAACTAGGAACTCTGTATTCTTGGTGGAATGTAAAGTAGTTAGCTGAAAGGCCAGATTTTCATAGGAATTACCACTAAAATCTGTCTCTCTCCTCTTTTTCTCTGGAAGTGTGACATGCCATCAGCTGCCACAGAAGACCCTCTCCGGGCTTTTGTTCTGCTGGGATAATATTAGGTCCTCCATGGTTTTTCCTTTCTCCAACAAGTGGTTTTGGTCTCTTTCTAAAGCCGCTACTTGCCATTGCCGCCTCCCTTCTCTCAGGCTACTGGAGCCACCACTTCCCATCCCCTGCTCCTGTTTAATCCTTAGAAGCTCTTGTTCATTGCGACTACTTGTTCCAGCCTTCCTGATGCCTTGTGATTGGTGTTCATAAGTTTTTTTTCTAAAAAGTAAATGGAGGGCTGAGGTGTATCTCAGTGGTAGGAGCACTTGACTAGTATATACCAGGCCCTGGGGTTCAATCCTTAGCACCCCAAAAGAATGAATAATTAAATGGAAAGTGAAAATCAAGGGTCTTTTAGAACTTAGCCACCCTTGATGTAGGAAACAGCATGTGACTTGAAACTAATCCTGCCTTGACACCACAAAAGACACTGGCTCATAGTAACTTAAAAAATTATTAGTGGTTGTGTAAAATATTCAGAAAAATTGCTAGTTCCCTGAAAATGAGAAATATTTTTGTGCATATTTCAGATGTCTTCATTTTCAGGATCAAGTTTAACTTGATCTCTGTGAAGTTTATCCTTTGAAAAGTAGTACCTGTATAAAAGTTTAAAACCTTATATTAAAGAGTTACCACTGTCAGATAATAAAACATGCATTTTCTTTTTATTTTTTTTAGCGTTCAATAAAGATTAGAGATTCAAAATTTGGCTTAGCTCTTGTCATTGAAAGTTCTAAGCAGGTAAGACACTTTACATTTTTATTAACCTAAGATAAATTTTTTAAACTGTGTGACAGTATTTTATTTTACAATCTAGGCTTTTAGTTTTATTACCTAGCAACAAGATTATTAACTATACTCTCAAGGTTGATGAAGTATTTGAAGTCTTATGCTAATTGTCTCTGTAGGAGGAATCCTGTCCATGTTTCTTGTTTTATTTGTTTTGAGAAAGTATCTTTCTGTATAGCCCAACCAAGCCAGCCTCAAATTCACAAACCTCCTGCTTCAGCATCCTCAGTGCTGGGATTACAGGCCTGCACCACCAAGCCCAGCTCTGCCTTTGTTTTGTTTTGTTTTTTCTTTTTCTTTCTTTTCTTTTTTTTTTGCTGGAGAGATACAATTATCACTTGTTATTAATCAAGTTATTATATCAAATGCTGTTTCTATATTCTCTCAGTCTAAAACTCTACTATTTTTCCCCATTTTACTGTCTAGAAACTGACACCTGGAGAAGTTAGGGGCCTGGTCTATGGTCTCATAACTAGCAAGGGGTGAGACTAAATTTTGATTCCAGATCTGGCTGATTGATAAGATTTTCTTTGAGGGGTTGGAGACATGGCTCAGGTAGCAGAGCGTCAGCCAATAAACAAAAGCATCAGATACCTAGTTCAGGTCTTAGAACAAAAAAAGAAAAAGATTTTCTTTGAGAAAAACATACACACACATGTTTAATACATTTTATATATTTTTTTGTGGGGGTTCCGGTTATGGGGCCTGAACTCTGTGCCTGGGCGATGTCCCTCAGCTCTTCAGCTCAAGGCTAGCACTCTACCACTTGAGCCACAGCGCCACTTCCGGCTTTTTTCTTTTTGCTTATGTGGTGCTGAGGAATCGAACCCAGGGCCTCATGCTTGCAAGACATGCACTCTACCACTGAGCAACCTTCCCAGCCCCAAGGAGATGGTTTTCCAGGCTGGCTTTGAACCTCAACCTTATAGGTCTCTGCCTTCTGAGACAGGAATTACAGTAATGAGCCAGCAGTGCCTGTCTCATTTCTTTCTTTTTTGTCCGGTCGTGGGGCCTGAACTCTGGGCCTGGGCGCTGTCCCTCAGCTCTTCAGCTCAAGGCTAGCGCTCTACCACTTGAGCCACAGCACCACTTCCGGCTTTTTTTCTTTTTGTTTATGTGGTGCTGAGGAATCGAACTCAGGGCCTCAGGCATGCAAGGCAAGCGCTCTACCACTGAGCCACCTTCCCAGCCCTCATTTCTTTCTTTTAATGTATAGTCTTTACCTTTTCAAGAACTAGCTCAAGCCTGCACTGGTGGCTCACACCTATAATCCTAGCTATTCAGGAGGCTGAGATCTGAGGATCACTGTTCATAGCCAGCCCAGGCAGGAAAAGTACTCTTCTCCTGTTAACCACTCAAAAACCAGAAGTGGCACTGTAGCTCAAATGGTAGAATGCTAACCTTAAGCAAAAAGAGCTAAGGGACAGTGCCCAGGCCCTGAGTTCAAGCCCTACAACTGAAAAAAAAAAAAAAAAAACAAGAAATATCTATAGTACATTTATTTTAATTTTGAGAAACCTCTTATATTTACAAATGAGGTTATATGATATCTGAACGTATTTCAGAATAATACTGAAGGGGTGTGGGTTTTATGTAAGGGAGAACTAGAGATGTTTGAAGCTCTGTGATGATTATCTGAAGTTTTTTTGTATTATTTTGTATTGTATTGTGTTCTATTTTTATATGTGCTTAAAATTTTTCATAGTGATGAGTCTAATTTTTTAATCAACTTATCTGGTGTACCCTAAAATAAGAACAATTAGAGCTGTAGTTTATCATGTCTTTTAAGTATCGTTTGTCATACTTAGTCATCTCTATTGTTGTCTATTGTAGAGTGGAGGATATGTTCTTGGCTTTAAAATAGATCCCGTGGAAAAACTACAGGAATCAGTTAAGGAAATCAATTCACTTCACAAAGTCTATTCTGCCAGTCCCATATTTGGAGTGAATTATGAAATGGAAGAAAAGGTAATCTGAACTGTGGAGTTTGCTGGATTGTTTTTATGTTCCCTATAAAATGCAGATATAAAGGCTTTGTGTACAATTTGCTTTAAACTAGATACACAGACTTTGTTCAAGTGAGCCTGGCCTGGACTAGACTATGTTAACTGTTGATAGTTACTGTTCTCCTAATTGGTTGTACCATCTTTCATTCTTCCATACCTAAGTGAGCTTTTTTGCATAGGTTGAACCAGATGGTTTGTTAGTATTTGACCTTTTTATGTATAAAAATTACAATTTTAGTTCAACCTAATAGTTATTTGTAATTGTGTTTTATTTTTCTAACCACTATCAGAAGATTATAAATCCTTTGTGGGAAAGAAGAAGGATTTTATACCCTTGTTGGTACTAGTACACGCTCCCTACTACAGTAAAATTACTCAAATATTTGAAAAATGAACAGATTAATATCAGTACTACATCTTATTCTGCCTTAGCTTTAAAATATCCTATGTAAATCTTTGTTATTTTACTTTTTTACAAATTTTATTTTATGAGTAATTTGAGGAAATTTGAAAAAATGCTACTATAAGCAAGTTTTTGATTATGTGAAAGAAAAATAATTTAGAGTATTTTTTTAAGAATGGCTCTTAAGGCTGGGCATTGGTGGCTCACACCTTTAATCCTAGCTACTCAGGAGGCTGAGATCTGAGGATCACAGTTCATAGCCAGCCCAGTTAGGAAACCACCAAAAAACCAGAAATGGCGCTGTAGCTCAAGTGGTAGAGCACTGAGCTGAAGAGCTGAGGGACAGTGCCCAGGTCCAGAGTTCAAGCCACACAATCAACAACAACAACAAAAAAATGGCTCTTAAGTATATTAAATATGTGGAAAATTCCCATTCTAACTTTTTTCATGATCTAGACTTCAGATTTAGAAACTTAAGTGTATCATCTGATCGAATCACCTCTAAATAACCCCATTATATATATATATATATATATACATATATACCCCATGGTATATATGTGCACACCAGAGGGAAACTAGGAGGAGGACACAGAACTAGAGGGAATCAGGGGAAAATATACAATAGTAGGTCCCATCAGCTGCACTGGACATTGATCAAAACGGACTAAGCAACTCAATGGCAGCGATGGGAGGGAGGGAATGAGTGGAAAAGAGAGAACAGCTGACGCTATGCAAAAGGAAAGAAATGTACATACCACCTGATGTGGAAGAAATTGTCGAAGCTCATAGAACTCATAAACTTTATAGACCACGATAGACGATTTGCCCCATGAAAGTTAGAATGTGTTTGTGACTTTAACTAAGCATCACTATCCCACAATACTGTGAAATTTGTGAAATTATGTAATCACTTAATCACAATAAAGAATTTTCAAAAAAAGAAAAAGAAAGAAAGAGAAAGGAAGGAAGGAAGGAAGGAAGAAAGGAAGGAAGGAAGGAAGGAAGGAAGGAAGGAAGGAAAGGAAAGGAAAAGACTAGCAGTGAAGCACACTGGACACTGAAGAAAGTAAACTGTACAACTTGTGGGTGGAGATAGGAGGGATTGGACTGGGAGAGAGGGACTCAGAGAGTATGAGGGAACAGGAGACACTGAATGAAAGAAAATGTACTCATTACCTGATTTATGTAATTGTAATCCCTTGTATATCACCTCTATAATAATAAAGTAAATTAATAGTAAGAAAATAAAATGAAATAATAGACAAAAAATAAATTTAAGTATAATGCATTTTACTATTCAAATTAGTTTTAATGAAAGAGTAATTATAATTGTAATGGTGATTTTCTTAAGACTTAAGCAGTTATAGTTGTATCTTCTTGAACATATTTATAGTTCTCACAATACATTTCCTCAAATGATTTGTTTAAATAATATTGTCTCTGATAAATTCTGACATCTTGATTTTTAGCCACAGCCCCTTGAAGCTCTGACAGTGGAACAAATTCAAGATGATGTTGAAATAGACTCTGATGGTCACACAGATGCATTTGTGGTGAGTGTCAAAAAGAACTATTAAATTTCTCATGATTTGTACATGAGTCATGTTTAGTTAAATCATGGTATGACTGTGTAGAACATTATAAAACTTGAGACTTTTTAATTTTTTTAATTTTTATTTTTTAATTTATTTTATTTGTGAACATACTGTACAGAGGGGTTACAATTACATGGGCAGGATAATGCGTACATTTCTTACCAAGCATTGCAGCCTCCTCCTTTGTTTATCCTTCACATCCCTTCCCAGCCTCTCCCCTCCCCCACCAGTCCCAATCCTCCCCCCCCCCACCGACATTGTAAAGCTCGTTTTGGACATGACAACTTGTACTTCTCATTGTTGCAACAGGTCCACCTGTATCCTTAAACGACTTGTTTTTCCCCATCTCCTCCACAAGTTATACTGACATCAAATATAGTGAAAGCAGGGGTTATACTGTGGGGGAGGGACATACAAACCAACAAAGAAATAATCTTATAAATGCATTAGAAACACATGCATGAAAGAAAAAACATTAAAATACATATCTAAGGGTTCATTTTCCTAGCATCACATTATCTGACCTTTTCTGCTTGACTCATACATATACTAGATATTGCAAATAAGGGAAACCATGGGACCTATGTTTCTTTGGGCCTGGCTTACTTCGCTTAATATAATTTTTTCCAAGTCTTTCCATTTCCTAACAAATGGGCAATGTCATTCTTTCTGATGGAGGCATAGAATTCCATTGTGTATATATACCACATTTTCTTGATCCATTCATCTACTGAAGGGCATCTGGGTTGGTTCCAGATCTTAGCTATGGTAAATAATGCTGCAATAAACATAGTTGTGCTGGTAGCTTTAGTGAACTTGAGACTTTTGACATGAGGTTGAGGTAAATTTTTTTAAGTGAGGGAATTTGTTTTGTGATAATGCTTTTAAATTACCAAACTAAGAACCACACACTGGTAGCTAACACCTGTAATCCTATCTACTCAAGAGGCTGAGACTTGGAGGATCATGGTTCAGATTTAGCCGGGCCATCTCCAACCAGGCAACAAAACACTGGGCTAGAGACATGACTTAAAGTAGAGCTACCCATGAGCAAAACAAGCTGAACAAGTGTGAAGCTTTGAGTTCAACTTCCAATACTAGCACCCCTCAAAAAAATATCAAAAACTGTTATAGCTGGTTAAATACTTTAAAATCTATACATTACATAATTAAGATAAATTTCCCTTAATCTGTAACTATATGGTTTTAGAAGAACACACATCTGAACAATAAATGTTTCTAAATTGGCATTTAATTTTCAACTACCACTATCTCTATGTATTTACTGGCACACTAAAGTACTGGTTTGTTTTGTTCATCTCAAGTTAGGAATAAGTTATACATTACTGACAAAGTACATCTCAGGTTTTTGTGCAGTTCTAGGGCTTGATTTTTAGAGCCTTGAGCTTTCTGGGTAGTCCTTCTGCCACTTGAGGATTTTTTGCCTTTGTTATTTTTCAAGTAGGGTCTCTTATTTTTGCCCAGATTGGCCTGAACCACAATCCTGTTTATTCTTTCCCCTGTGACACTTGGAATGACAGATGCAGGCCACCATGCTTAACTTTTTATTGGTTGAGATGGAGATCTCACAAACTTTCACCAGGACTGGCCTCAAACCATGCTTTTTCTCAATCTTAGCCTCTCAGATAACTGGAACTACAGATGCGAGCCACCATGTTCATTCCTACAAAGCACATTTGTTTAGAGCCTAAAGACGTCATTTTTTCGTAGCTGTTAATACTGATCAATAAATTTTGATTTCTATCATTGTAGAGATAGTGAGAAAACCATTAAACTTCCAGTATCAAAATGTGAAATACATTTAGTTGCAGAATCACTGTACAATCCATTACCTGTTCCTTAGCTCCCTTACCTATTACATAGCAAACATGTGAAATATCAATTTTTTTTGTCTTATAGGCTTATTTTGCTGATGGTAATAAGGTAAGCACATTTTACTGATAGTACTATTATTTTTTTTGCAATTTTCTATATTTCAGCATTTAGCATTCTTATGTGAAACCTATTTTTTGTTTTTTTCCTCTCCCTTGCCCACCCTCTCTATTCCTATCTCGTTCTCTTACCTCCCAAAAGCAACAAGATCGTGAACCTGTATTTTCAGAAGAACTGGGTCTGGCAATAGAGAAATTGAAGGATGGATTCACACTACAGGGACTTTGGGAAGTAATGAGTTGATCTTAAGTTGAGCTAGATTTCTATTTAAAGATTTCTTAAGAGTAAAGATTCTAGTCACCTGCTATAAGGCATGGAATGGTTTTTATGTTTACAGCTTTTATATTCAAGGATTTCCAGAAAGAGTTTTTTACTGATTAAGGAAAATCTCACTTAGAAAACTGCCAGTTCCTTTAAAAAATTAAATTTAAAATTTCAATTGAAATGTATCTAGTTTGTAAATGTTTATAATGTACTTAATACTTGTAAAATTTTAGTTTTCAGATATTAAATGACTGTATCATTGGGTTTAATAAAGAATTTATGCAGCATCATCTAATGTTTTGAAAGTATTATTTAAAAGAACATCATAATCAAAATACTCCTTTCTTAATTATAAAAATTTAGCTTAACTACATTATCTCATAGCTCCAAATGTAAGCTAACTCTATACAAATTGTAGTCTGTAAGCATCATTTTTAGGGAGTCATTTTGTCAAAACTAAATATTACAGCTAACTATGGTATACATCAAGCCTCTATTTATTTATTTATTTATTTTTGTCGGTCGTGGGGCTTGAATTCTGGGCCTGGGCGCTGTCCCTCAGCTCTTCAGCTCGAGGAGAGCACTCTACCACTTGAGCTACAGCGCCACTTCTGGTTTTCTGGTGGTTTATTGGAGATAGGAGTCTCACGGTCTCTCCTGCCTGGGCTGGCTTTGAACCGCGATCCTCAGATCCTCAGATCTCAGTAGCTAGGATTACAGGTGTGAGCCACCAGTGCCCAGCTAAGCCTCTATTTGTTTTGAGTGCTAATGTGGAAGTGATTTCATTATAGTTTGGACAAGAATATACTTCCAAGGAAATTGCTTTGTTCTTTTGTTGATTTTTCTCCTTATTTGTATTATTGAAACTTCTAAAATTTTTCAGAAATAACACGTTATTTGATTAGGTAAAAATTTTCAATCTCTCTAGTGTTGTTCGTTAGTGTTAGTTGTTCAAGTGTTGTTCAGCTACCCCAGTTGCAAGAGCATTGTGGACAACCTTGTCAAATGATTCACATTAGCTACACAGGAGCCCTTTCTGTAGTAGGAAAGAATGAGGTGGTACAAATGTTTGAAGATGCAACAATATATACAGTCGTAGACAGGTTTATAATATAACCTAATGTTCATCTCACTTTATTTAAAACCATCGAACAAAAGTTTTAAGTGGGTTTCTTCATTTAAAGGGAAATGGATTTCTTTTCTTTGGGGGGGGAGGGGCAAGTGGGAGAAGTCCTGGGGCTTGAACTCAGGGCCTGGGCTCTGTTCCTGAGCTTCTCTGTGCTCAAGGCTAGTATTCTACCACTTGAGCCACAGCGCTTCCTCTGGCCTTTTCTGTTTATGTGGAATTGAACCTAGGGCTCCATGAATGCTAGGCAAGAACTCTACCACTAAACCACATTCCCAACCCCTGGAAAAAGATTTTTACACTTCCTTTTGGTGCTAGTCTGGGGCTGAAACTCAGGGCGTAGGTGCTATCCCTGGGCTTTTGTACTCAAGGCTAGTGCTTTACCTCTTGTTCCACTTCTGGCCTTTTGGTGGTAAATTGGAGATGAGAGTCTCATGGACTTTCCTTCCTGGGCTGACTTTGAACTTTGATCCTCAGACTTCAGCCTCTTGAATTAGGATTACAAGTGTGAGCCACCAGTGCCCAGCTGTATCTTTGCACATTTAATGGATAGAGTTATAAAGACCTACATTAGGACATCACAAATAAAATGTTGTCATAAAGATTGTTTAAATGCTACTTTTCAAGCAAAACAAACTAAAATTGCCCACTGGTAAGAATCCCAAGTGCCATACCATGGTACTTACATCTGACTCACTAATCTTTTCAAATGTTAGGTGTTGTGTTTGGAGAGAAATGAGTCATTTATTGTTTAAACACGGGAGCAGCTGTTATTTTTTTCTAGTGTGTTAAAACCTTTAATGACTTCTATAAATGGAAAAAGAATCAATGAGCTCTTCTTTCAGCTGTTGTTTTAGCAACTGACAGTACCTTGACTTCACTGTGATGTAAAAGAAAAGAAAAAAGTTTTTACACATGGCTAGAGACCTTGAAATTTAAAAATAGAGAATTCTCTGACCTGGGCATTCATTCATTCAACAAATGTTTATGGAGCATTTGTGAGGCTTATGGACTATTTCTGAACAGCAGCACAGACACACAGAGGTCTGGGAATGTGGCTTAGTGGTAGAGTGCTTGCCTAGCATGCATGAACCCCTGGACTAGATTCCTCAGTACCACATAAACAGAAAAAGGCGGAAGTGGCATGGTGGCTCAAGTGGTAGAGTGCTATCCTTGAGCAGAAGAAACTCAAGGACAGTGCCAGGCTCTGAGTTCAATCCCCAGGACTAGCCAAGAAAAAAAAAAAAGAGAGAGTTTATATTCTTTGGGGTATATTTAAGAATACCAGTGTTGGCCGGGCGCTGGTGGCTCACGCCTGTAATCCTAGCTACTCAGGAGGCTGAGATCTGAGGATCACGGTTCAAAGCCAGCCCGGGCAGGAGAGACTGTGAGACTCCTATCTCCAATAAACCACCAGAAAACCTGGAAGTGGCGCTGTAGCTCAAGTGGTAGAGCCCTCACTTTGAGCTGAAGAGCTGAGGGACAGCGCCCAGGCCCAGAGTTCAAGCCCCACGACCGACAAAAAAAAAAAAAAAAGAATACCAGTGTCTGCTGGTAAGGTGCTTCCTCAGCATGCACAAGCCCCTCAGTACCACAAAAACACCGAGTACCAGCCCCTGAAATTCTTTCTGTAGCCCTAGTGATTCTTCATCATGACATCTGCGTTCCATAATTAAGGTGGTAATCTCTTATCATCGACTTAGATTATCATTCCAGTTATATGTGTATGTATGCTTTTTAAAATAATGCTTGTTTTCCCAATTGTATAGGGGGTCTAGTACTTATTCTGATTTTGTCAGTGTTCTGAAAATAAACTATTTCATAAGGCTACATTTGTTCTACTTAATATTTAATGAAACAACTTTTAACAGTAAAAATTACAAAATACTGGGCTGGGAAGGTGGCTCAGTGGTAGAGTGCTTGCCTTGCATGCTGAGGCCCTGGGTTTGATTCCTCAGCATCACATAAGCAGAAAAAGCTGGAAGTGGCGCTGTGGCTCAAGTGGTAGAGCACTAGCCTTGAGCTGAAGAGCTGAGGGACAGTGACCAGGGCCAAAGTTCAGGCCCCATGACTGACCAAAAAAAAAAAATACAAAATACCTTTTGTATAAAATACCATAGTGGGTCTTTAATTTTTTTAGCATTGACTTTATTTTTCATTTAACCTAGAAGAATTCTTTTTAAAATTTTTCCTTCACTTCCCTATTATTGTTAGCTATAACACATCCTTCGTACATCAGGCAGAGTATGAACAAATTAAATACTTCCATAATTCAACACCATTAAGCTTTTCAAAAAACAAAAATCATTTAGAATACCTTAGAAAAATTATCACTTGTTTTTATGCATTTGTTATTTCAGATATGATGGATGTATCATCTCATATTTTATAAAACTATAATTATACACAAGAAACATCTTTTAAGTTTCCTACTACTAAAAGAAATATCTAATTCCCACTATTTTGAATAGAAAAAGTTAATGTGTGACCATTACTGGAAAGGTGATCTTACGAAAATTCAAGTAAACTCGACTCATATTCTTGACCTTTGTGTCATTAATTCAATGTGCCATATAACTTGCCACTAAGTCATTTTTAGAGGGGTGACTCATTTTTGTGATTCATTTTTCTATTCAGTAAACATATTCTTGTGGTAGCCTTTATTAGCATATCTTCTAATGCTTTATATATTTTAAAGCTTTCTACTTCACTTAAATGTCTTGTTTCTTAGCTGTTCCTTGGTGATTAAAAGTTCCAGTTGTTACTTTCAATCTATGACAGCTGCCAGAACAACTCTTCTTTCCAAAGTAGCTCTCCTAAATTCCCGTTGTTAAGAGCTGGTATCTATATTTAGCCGGTGGGATTAAATTGCAGAGGCTTCAAGCTGGGCAAAGCACACTGATCTGCCTTTTTACAGCTAGACGTGTGTGCTGCAAGTAGCTGAGGCCCTCAGTGTCCCCTTCCTTACCCAGGTTGCTCACAAAATGGATTCCCAGCGGGAACTTGCAGAGGAACTACGGCTTTACCAATCCACCCTTCTTCAGGATGGTCTAAAAGATCTCCTGGATGAGAAAAAATTCATCGATTGCACCGTCAAAGCAGGTGACAAAAGTCTTCCTTGCCACAGATTGATTTTGTCAGCTTGTAGTCCTTACTTCCGTGAGTACTTTTTATCTGAAATTGAGGAGGAGAAAAAAAAGGAGATAGTACTAGATAATGTGGATCCGGCTATACTTGATTTAATCATCAAATACCTGTACTCTGCTAGTATTGATCTCAATGATGAAAACGTGCAAGATATTTTTGCGTTGGCCAGCCGATTTCAGATCCCCTCAGTGTTCACTGTCTGTGTGTCCTATCTCCAGAAAAGACTTGCTCCTGGTAACTGTCTAGCCATCCTGAGATTAGGACTTCTTCTAGACTGCCCAAGACTCGCCATTTCTGCCCGGGAATTTGTGTCTGATCGCTTTGTGCAGATTTGTAAGGAAGAGGACTTTATGCAACTGTCTCCACAGGAACTGATCTCCGTCATTTCAAATGATAGTCTAAATGTAGAAAAGGAAGAAGTGGTATTTGAGGCAGTGATGAAATGGGTAAGAACAGACAAAGAAAACAGGGCTAAAAATCTTAGCGAAGTATTTGATTGCATCCGTTTTCGTCTTATGGCAGAAAAGTATTTCAAAGATCATGTTGAGAAAGATGACATAATTAAAAGCAACCCTGAACTCCAGAAAAAAATCAAAGTTCTAAAAGATGCTTTCACAGGTAAACTCCCAGAACCTAGCAAAAAAGCCGAGAAGACTGAGACTGGTGAGGTGAATGGGGATATTGGTGATGAAGACTTACTTCCTGGTTACCTGAATGACATTCCCAGGCATGGAATGTTTGTCAAAGACCTCATACTCTTGGTTAACGACACAGCTGCAGTGGCTTATGATCCCACAGAAAATGAATGCTACCTTACTGCACTGGCTGAGCAGATCCCCAGAAATCATTCCAGCATTGTTACCCAACAAAATCAGGTGTATGTGGTAGGAGGACTATATGTAGATGAAGAAAATAAGGATCAACCTCTTCAGTCATACTTTTTCCAGGTAAGGACAACTATGTCTATGTAAGTAGAGGTGTAAGAGAAGGCTCTTGCCATCCAGTTAGCTTTTAGTCATTTATGAATTATTCAGGCCTCTTGCATTTTATACTAATAGGTGTCCTATTGGACTCCATTGCATTTTTCTGCTTAGAGGGTGGACAGAAATATTCAACTGCTTGTTAAGCTTTAAAAAAAAGTATAGTGTACAAGGATTCTTATTAATATTTAAGTCATTAACATCCTTTTACCCCAAATGTCATGTTTCAAGTTGATGGTGATTTTGTAATCATTCTAAGCCCAATATTTTAGTAAAAATAATTCATAATCTTATACATTGTTTCCTGAAAAATAAAGATCTTTCCCTCAATGAAAGTTACTTATTGTATAGATCATATTTTCTATTTTTTTCTCCAGATTTTCTTTTTTCCTTTGAAGTTCTTAGAAGGTAGAATTTCATCTTTACTTATAGTTACCATCTAAAACATAATTTTGTTGAAAATTAAAAAGGAGTTGTGTACATATTCCATATATTTTGAATTGTAGGAAAAAACCTTTATGAATATCACTATATTAAGATGGTTTTGTTTATATTTTCACATTTACTTGTATCAGTGCTATAGTTAGATATCATGGTAACTTAGTAATCTGTTTTGTGTAACCATAAACATTTGTAGGAAAACAAGTTCTTCTAAACTAGTAGACTCTTTGTAGTTTGTTTATAGGGAGTTAACTTCATATTATCAGTGCATTATAACTTATGAATTTATGAAGGAATCAGTAATTCAAACTTTATATCCAGCAACATCAGTGGCAATCCTTTATAACTACAACTAGCTCAAAGAGTTTGTTTAGGTCATAGCTAATCGTGGCCTGGGGTTTACAGACACTTGGACTGGAAAGGCCAAAGATAAGCAAGTGTAGAATGTCATACCATAGTCATAATATGCTCTCATAGTGTATGACATACACTCAAAAATCCTATATTTAAAAATGTCATCATAAACACAGTCATGTTTCTTCATTTTTAAATTCTCACTGGAAATAAGTTTTTGGTATGGGCCAGAAATTTTCCTAAGCACTAATTTTAAATTTAGATTAACTTCAGAAAGGTCATATTCCATGAAAAACATTATAAATACCTACAGGAAATAATAAGAAAAAGAAAACACAGACCACAGATAGGCAGACAGATAGATAACAGATCCTCAGAATAATGATAGCCATACAATAATTTCTCCAAACTTTTGAAGCCTTTAATCCACTTTATATTTAGCTTATGGAACATAGGGCCTGGTGTATAGCTAACTGGCAGTGTGCAGTTAGCATGCACAAGGCCTTGGGTTTGACCCTCACTACCACATAAACAAGTAGAGTTAAACATATCTATAGCCCAGCCATTTAGTTTCAGGTGCTCAGTTTAATCTTTATCCTCTTCCATTCTATTACTACCCTTACAGACATGGCTGCTTATTTCTTTCTGGTTCAAGAAACCTGCTGAATGTTTATTAAAGCTCCTAAAGCAATTATACAAAGTTAGAAGGTAAACTCCCCGTCACTACCCGTACCTTGCCACTTTTAAAAAGCACAAATGGGGGGCTGGGAAGGTGGCTCAGTGGTAGAGCGCTTGCCTTGCATGCCTGAGGCCCTGGGTTCGATTCCCAGCACCACATAAGCAAAAAGAAAAAAAAAAAGCCGGAAGTGGCGCTGTGGCTCAAGTGGTAGAGCGCTAGCCTTGAGCTGAAGAGCTGAGGGACAGCACCCAGGCCCAGAGTTCAGGCCCCACGACCGGACCCAAAAAAAAAAAAAGCACAAATGGTAGAACAAGATGCCAGGATTAAAACATCTGACCATAAAAGAGGGTGTGACTCACCAGAAAATATTTGTATGAGAATTTCAAGGTATTTTTGGTTTGGTTATACATATTTAAAATTATTAATTTAGAAGTAATGTAGTATTTGGTTGTATACTGCAAGTAGATTAGAGAACTTTTTTACTTAATAACAGAGCTTATTTTCCTTCTTCCATGGGAGAAATAGATTCAGTTTTGCAGATTTTGAATGACCTAGATCCAAAGCCTAATTTTTATCAAGAAGAAAGTAGAACCAAGAGAGGTTTTAAAATATGAAAGCTTGTCTTTACTAAAAGATGTGCTGAAGGGTTGGGAAGGTGGCTCAGTGGTAGAGTGCTTGCCTTGCATGCATGAAGCCCTGGGTTCGATTCTTCAGTACCACATCAGCAGAAAAAGCCAGAAGTAGCACTGTGGTTCAAGTGGTAGAGCGCTAGCCTTGAGCTGAAGAGCTGAGGGACAGTGCCCAAACCCAGAGTTCAGGCCCCATGACCAACTAAAAAAAAAAAAAAAAAGATGTGCTGAGATGTGCTGAAGAGAATTGGTAGCTTATCTGTTTATGAAAGAGGCTTGTTCTAACACTGGTGGCTCACACACACCATAATCCTAGCCACTTAGGATGCTGAGATCTGAGGATCCTAGTTGTAAGCCCATGTAGGCAAGAAAGTCCTTAAGACTCTTATTAACCACCAAAAAGCTGGGAGTGGAACTGTGGCTCAAGTGTTAGAGTGCAAGCCTTGAGCAAAAAGGCTCAAGGACAGGGCCCAATCCCTGAGCAATGCACCATTCCATCTACTATGCAAAGAGCAGAATAAGGGTAGTGGGGAAGGGAAACCATGTGGTACAGTATGAGAACATATACCTCCGGCACTTTTTTTCAAAAAAGAAAACATTAGGGACCATGGTGACACTAGTGCATGGCAGGGATTAAAACTCATGCTGTGTTTTCTGGATTTCGTGTTTGTTTAATTGAGGATACAAGATCATATCTAGAGAAGCTTCCACATATACATTCCTGTCCAGCTTTTATATTCAAAGCCATGCTTAGTATCCAATGAATCTCAGCTTTACATGTTTTTCTTCGGCTATCTAGAACAACAGCTGCAGCAGCACTTCCTCAGAAACCATTTCCATGTGCCTTACTATCCTAAAATGCAAAGTCGAAAAACCTTAAGACTGTAAATAGTTAAGTGCTGGATGCTGTCTATGTGAGAGCCACCTATTTAGAGCATGGATTCTAGCAAGGCCATAGCAGGCTTGCAGCAATAGTAACAAAACAAAGAAAGTTTCTTCTTAATATAAAAGAGAGAGAGAGAAAAAAAAAGAAGGATATTTTATATGACTTCTCCAAAAAACTAGGAAGCCAACATCAATACCTGTCTGTTCCCAAAATAATAAAGCAAGCAAAACTTAGCAAAACTTATCCTAAAAATGTCTAAAAGAATGAAAATGAGGATCAAGAAAATGTATACACAATGGAATTCTATGCTTCAACCAGAAAGAATGACATCAACCCAATCGTAAGGAAATGGAAAGACTTGGAAAAAAATCATATTAAGTGAAATAAGCCAGACCCAAAGAAACATAGGCTCCATGGTTTCCCTCATTTGTAATAATTAGTATATGTCTAGGATAATCTTATCAGATGAGCATAAAAGCTCAATAGCTGTGTACATATGACCACACAAAATGATGCTAATCAAAATGAACCCCACGAAATGGAAACAGATTTTTTTGTTTTGTTTTTAATGTGTTTTTTTTTGTGTGTGAAGTTATTTTTTATTCATCTCTCCCCCCCTTTGATTTATCCCCTGTTGTCAATGCTTCTCATTTTGGTACCCTGTATCTTATATATACATTTATCTGATTTGTGAAGAGAAGGGGAAAACAAAATGATGAGACAAAGGACAAAGGGTGAACAAATGCAACTATGTTAGAAATGAACTTTACAACTTGGGTAGAAGAGTCAGGAGAGAGGGAGGATGGGAGAAAAGAAAGGGGGTAATACTATACAACAAGAAATGTACTCATTACCTTATTTATGTAATGAAATCCCTCTGTACTTCATCCTTGCAATTAAAAATTTAAAGACAAGAATGAAAAATAGGGGGGGGAAGGCTGGGAAGGGATGTGAAGGGTAAACAAAGGAGGAGGCTGCAATGCTTGATAAGAAATGTACGCATTATCCTGCCCATGTAATTGTAACCCCTCTGTACAGTATGTTCACAAAAAAAAAAGAAATAGAAAAAAATGACAAAAGAAAAAAAATGAAAAATGGCATTGCCTAAGCTTCCCAGTTGTCTGTGGCCTGAGCGACAGGTCCAGCTGTGAGGCTGAAGGCTTTGGGAGCATGTTAAAAATAGCTCTCGGGGGTCATTCACATACCCTGACCCTCCCTGCTGTGGCCACCTGTCTTTTCCTAATGTCTAAAGAATATTAACATGCCTCGTTTCAAAGATGGACACGAGAAAAAACAAGAAACCTCACAGTTCTAATCCCTGGAGCTTCTGTTTTATTCTCATTCCATTTTTGAAGTCTTGAATGTTTTGGTACTTTATTTGGCAGGTAAAGTTGATTTTCTCATTCTTCATGGTACTTTCAACCAAAAACATATTCTGAGATTGTTGATTTTACTTGTGAGATCTTTGACTCTCAATGTGTTTTAAACACATCATGTATAGCATAGTCATTGTTGCACCCCTAACTTTTTTCTACTAAGTATCACAATTCTTCATATATTTTTTTTCAGCTTGACAACATATCATCTGAGTGGGTTGGACTTCCGCCTCTCCCATCAGCCAGGTGTCTCTTCGGTCTGGGAGAAGTAGATGACAAAATCTACGTAGTTGCAGGCAAAGATCTTCAAACAGAGGCTTCGCTGGATTCAGTATTGTGTTATGATCCTGTGTAAGTTGGTATGACATTCCTGTTCCCTAAGGAACAAATACCTAAAGCAAATTAATATTTTCAAACTTACTGCAAACATAAATTCTGTCATCTCATTTCAGAGCTGCAAAATGGAATGAAGTAAAACATCTTCCTATCAAAGTTTACGGACATAATGTTATTTCACATAATGGTATGATATATTGTCTTGGTGGAAAGACAGATGACAAGTAAGTGCCTGAAACATCCTTGTGATTTATGTCCAAGTGAGTTTTCAGTACACAGAAGGGTCTCTTCTTTTCCTGTGTGCATGTACGCACATGCACGCATACACACACACACACATACAGAAAAAAATGAAAGTTATTTTGTACAATTTAAATACACAAATAATTTTTAAAAGAAATTAAGCTTTTTCTCCTGAAACTCTGATTTCATTTGCTTAGACTGTTTAATTAATCCAGATGTTAACTTCCTCTCCACTCCTGGAAAAGAAACCTAAATAACAAATTGTAAGCATTCAGTGGCATGTGCTTATGGTCCCAGTTACTTTAGAAGCTAACAAAGGAGAATCATTTTAGCCAGAGGTTCAAAATTGGCCTGAGCAACATAGGAAGACCTCATCTCAAACAACAAGAACTATAAGAGCATAGCAGGAAAGGAGTAAAATATGAAAATGTGCTAAGGGGCTAGGAAGGTGCCTCAGCGGTACAGTGCTTGCTTCACATGCACGAGGCCCTGGGTTCGATTCCTCAGCATCACATGAACAGAAAAAGTCAGAAGTGGCACTGTGGCTCAAGTGGTAGAGCGCTAGCCTTGAGCTGAAGAGCTAAGGGACAGTGCCCAGGCCCAGAGTTCAAGCCCCATGACTGGCAAAAAGAAAAGAAAAGAAAATGTGTTAAAAGTAAAACAAACAAACAAAAAACTGTGTGTTAAAAGTAGAAACTTATCAAGTTAATATTAGTGGCTATTAGCCGGGCACCAGTGGCTCACGCCTGTAATCCTAGCTACTCAAGAGGCTGCGATCTAAGGATCGCAGTTCAAAGCCAGCCTGGACAGGAAAGTCCGTGAGACTCTTATCTCCAATAAACCACTAGAAAACCAGAAGTGGCACTGTGGCTTAAGTGGTAGAGCCACTCACCTTGAGCTGAAGAGCTGAGGGACAGCGCCTAAGCCCAGAGGTCAAGCCCCACAACTGACAAAAAAAAAAAAAAATATATATATATATATATATATATAAGTGGCTACTAATTAAAATGATAAATATAGTATATAAAATGTCTAAAGCAATAATTTTCATGTACTCTATATTCTAAGGTAATCTATTCTGAAATATTTTTATCTTTGCTGTTTGCATCAAATGAATATTTAAAAGAAAGTCTGGTGGTTCCCACATGTTTTGTTTTTTATTTTTTTTTTTGGGGTCCGGTCGTGGGGCCTGAACTCTGGGCCTGGGGCTGTCCCTCAGCTCTTCAGCTCAAGGCTAGCGCTCTACCACTTGAGCCAGAGCGCCACTTCCGGCTTTTTTCTTTTTGCTTATGTGGTGCTGGGAATGGAACCCAGGGCCTCAGGCATGTAAGGCAAGCGATCTACCACTGGCCACCTTCCCAGCCCCTGGTTCCCACATGTTATCCTAGCATTTGGAAGACTAAAACAGGAAGATTGAGAGTTTAGGACAATCTGGGCTTCATAGTGAGTTCAAGGCCAACTGAAGCTACATGTCAAGACCATGTCTCAAAAACTAAAACAATAGAGACTTAGGCTGTGCCAAATCTTATTTGGCATATTTTCCCTTGGTAAATGGAATAAAACTGCTGATAAGTATATTCCTATTTGGGAATCGTTGGGCATCTTCCAAATTATTTAAATTGTTTCCTTCAAGCAACATTAGTAACTAGGAAATTGATATGTCAGTAAGAAGCATACAAGTTTTGTCAGTAAGAATACATTCATCTTAAGAACACGATTAACTAGACAACCTTGCTTAACAAATGTCAAAGTCAAGAACTCTAAAATGAGTCATTATCTAAAAGTAAAGGCCCAGACTAGAGCTGTAGCTCAGTGGTAGAGTGCAAGTAAAAAGCAAGAGTTGAATTGCATTAGTTACCAGCAGTGAATTTGAAGAATATGATTTTTACATTATACACTTACCAAATTTTCCAGTGATACCTATAATCAAATATTAGAGAAAATATTTCTACTGCAGATATCTGGTGGAGTTTTTTTAAAATAAGATTAAGAAAAAATTATCTCATGGCATGGATACAAATGTTTCCAGTTAATAGGATTGGGAATCATCCTATCATGCAGTTATAGATTCATTTCAGGAACATACCTAGAATAAATTAGGTGAACCCGACCTTTTGGCTAGCATTTAGCTCATCTAAAGTGCTAGCTTTCTGAAAATGAAGTTTTATATTGTCTAAGAAGCAAAGCCAGGGGTTGAGAAGATGGTTCAGTGGTAGAGTGCTTGCCTTGCTTGCATAAGGCCCTGGGTTCTATTCCTTCGCACCACATAAGCAGAAAAAGTCAGAAGTGGTGCTATGGTTCAAGTGATAGAACACTAGCCTTGAGCTGAAGAGCTGAGGGACAGGCCTAGAGTTCAGGACCCAAGATCAACAACAACAACAAAAAAAAAAGCAGCAGCAGCAGCAAAGCCAAAATTATGAAGTAGCTTTCAAAAAAGTTCTAAAATAACATTTATTGTCTCCTGTGTTTACAGAAAATGTACAAATAGGATGTTCATCTACAACCCAAAAAAAGGAGACTGGAAAGATCTGGCTCCAATGAAGACCCCTCGTTCCATGTTTGGTGTGGCTGTCCACAAAGGCAAAATTGTAATTGCAGGAGGTGTCACTGAAGATGGCCTTTCAGCTTCAGTTGAAGCTTTTGATCTCAAAAGCAATAAGTGAGTTGCCTTGCTCTAGTACATGTGAATTGCTGTATTTTTTTTTGTTTACATTTGGGTAGAAACTAAGCTCTCTGATTGAGCCCTGGAAAGGGGAAGGCAGGAAGAAGGTATAGATTAAGAGGAAGCATGTTCCTCTGGGTTTCTTATAGGGTAAAAACTCCTTTGTGGTGTGATACCTCTGTTTGTAATTTGGAATATGTAGCCATCAAGTTACTGTTGGCAGGCTCTGTTTGTTCTTATTATTAACTTGGTACATTTAGTCCTTCAAATGTAATACTTGTGAGTAACTGTACATGTGTAGATGGATAAATGTGTCTCTAAGAGTTATTTGACTTAGAATATGAAAAGATATAACAGATGAAAGATTTAAAAGACCTTCAAGATGAAAAGATCTAATCAGGTACCAGTGACTAACACCTGTAATCCTAGCTACTCAGGAGGCTGAGATCTGAGGTTTGAAGACAGCCTAACAAGGAAAGTCCATGACACACACACACACACACACACACACACACACACACACACATCCGAAGTGGAGCTTGGTTTAAGTGGTACACACACACACACACACACACACACACACATCCGAAGTGGAGCTGTGGTTTAAGTGGTAGAGCGTTAGCCCAGAGCAAAAAATTCAAGGACAATATTCAGACCCTGAGTTCAAGACCCAGTACTGACATACATACAAACAAAATAGCAATTATAATAATAAGATAAAAAGATCTGCACTTGTCAGTAACTGGCATTTGTAAAATATGAATGCTTTATAAGTTTAATTCCTTTGTGCTCTGTAATTTTTTTTTTTTTTGCGTCCGGTCATGGGCCTGAACTCTGGGCCTGGGCGCTGTTCCTCAGCTCTTCAGCTCAAGGCTAGCACTCTACCACTTGAGCCACAGTGCCACTTCTGGCTTTTTTTTTTCTGCTTATGTGGTGCTAAGGAATCGAACCCAGAGCCTCATGCATGCAAGGCAAGCGTTCTACCACTGAGCCACCTTCCCAGCCCCAGTCTGTAATTATCTTAATTTTCATTTTTAAGCATCTATTGCCTTGGTTAATGTAAAATATTACTTGAAAAGATACTGTTATATAAAATTTTAAATTTTTTAAGTTACATATCCAATTGAGTACATAATTTTATAATCATAGTTCCATAATGAAGAAAAAATTTGAGCACTACACTGAGTAAATTTGAACTTATAATTGCCTGGGTTGGAAGTGTGGCTCATATGGTAAAACCACAGGAGGCCCTAAATTCAAGTCCCACAGCACCACATACACACATTAAAAAAAACATGCACATTTAAATGATAATTTCCCATAATTGTTCAGTAAATACTTTTAGCATTCATTTAAGTTTTACATTAATTTTATTTTCAATAAAATATGCAGGTGGGAAGTAATGACTGAATTTCCTCAAGAAAGAAGCTCCATCAGTTTGGTCAGCCTGGCTGGATCCCTGTATGCCATTGGTGGTTTTGCTATGATTCAACTGGAAAATAAAGAGTTTGCACCCACTGAAGTCAATGACATTTGGAAGTAAGTTCTCTTATTCCAACTTTTGGGGCCCAATATTAAATCAGATAACTGGTAACTGATGACCATTTTTGTAGTAAATAATAAACCAGACTTGGCCAATTTGCAAGCTACTTTTGATAGTAGACTAAACACTAACCTTTGAACAAGTTAAGTATTCTTGATGTACCACTGCTAATTAGCTGTCAACCTGGGAAAGACCTTATTGGAGCCCCTTTCTTTTTCTGTAGATAAAGGATGGTTGAGCCTTTAAGCCCTATTTCAGCTCTCAAAGGGTAATATATCAAGTATTCAGAACAACTAATTTATTTTTCACTAGAGTATAGTTTATTTCCTTAAAAAAAAAAACGGTTCTGGCTGAATGCCAGTATCTCACATCCATAATCCTAGATATTCAGGAGGCTGAGAGCTGTGATCACAGTTCAAACCCAGATCAGGCAGGAAAATCTGTGAGACTCTTATCTCCCATTAACCACCAAAAAGCCAGAAGTGGAGCTGTGGCTTAAGTGGTAGAGTGCTAGCTTTGAGCAGGGACAGTACCCACTGAATTAAAGCCCTAGGATCAGTTCTATGGTTTCACTTGGCCTGTTTGCTCCTGTCAGGTATGATACTGTGTGACCCATAACTCCAGAAAATACAGCTCTTAGGAAACATTTAACTTCAAGATTTTACCATTAATTTATTAAATCTATTTCAAATCTAGTTTATTCTAGTTGAGGACTCAATGAAAAAAAAAGAAAAAAATGAAAGTAACAATCCATTTTATCTTCCAGAGAGGTATATATAACATTTGCAAACTGTTATTCAATTGCACTATTCTAGTCAAAGCAGTATTTTTGAAAGAGCAGAAAACACATTTTACCTTAGTGTCTTATGCAGTTAATATCATATGGATAACTAGATATATCCAGGCTGTGTCAGGAGCAGAAGTTTGTGTTATAGATCCTTATAGTTTTAAAAAGGGTATGGTACCAAGAGGACATTACACCTATCTACCTGTGGTCCCTGCTGTTTTCAGGCCAAGCTCTATGCATACTTATCTAACTTATATGAGGTAGAACTCACTCAGCTGCCCAAGGTGAGCCTAAGTGAGTTATGCTGCACACTTACCGCAAACTGCCATACTCATGCTTTCTGTTGTCCGCTTAAAGGCCAGAAGCAACTTGCAAGCCTCCACCTCCATTTACCTAGCTACTGTTAGTTTACCTGAGGCCTTGCTGCTTACCATCACTAACATCTCCTAGGTGCTGCTATAAAAGTAGAGTATCTAGGCCACATGCCAGTGGCTCACACCTATAATCCTAGCTACTCAGAAAGCTGAGATCTGAGGATCCCAGTTCAAAGTCAGCCTGGGCAGGAAAGTTTATGAGACTATCTTCAATTAGCCACCAAAAAGCCAGAAGTGGTGTTGTGTTGCAAGTGGTAGAGTGCTATCCTTGAGCAAAACAGCTCAGGGACAGTACCCAGGCAGTGCCGAGGACCAGCACGCGTGTGCATGCGCGCGCGCGCGCGCGCACACACACACACACACACACAGAATAGAATCCCAGTTGGACATCATGGTATATACCTGTAATCCCAATATTGGGAAGTAGTTACAGGAGGATTTAGTTTGAAGCCAGTGTGGGCTACATAGCAAAGTCCAGCCTGAAATACCAGGCTACACAACATTTTTCAAAAATGAAAAATCCCAGGCCACACCTCATATCTACTAATCAGAATCTGCAATTTTGGCCAGATGCCAATGGCTCACACCTAAAATCCTTGATCTCAGGAGGCTGAGATCTGAGGATCAAGGTACAAAGCCAGCATAAGTGGACTAATCTATGAAACTCTTATCTCCAGTTAACCAGTAAAAAGCCAGAACAGAAGGCAAGGCTTAAATATAGAGCACCAGTTATGAACAAAAAGCCACATGAGTGAAAGGTAGTATTTAGGAGCCTCTCATAGAAGAACCTTCCATGTACCAGGCCAAGGACACATGTCAGACACATTTCCAGGGAATTCATGTTGTCTGTACCTTTATGATATTGAATATTCAGAAAAGATAATCAGTTCTTACCTGAAATCAAGTGCAGAGCCTGAGAGGTCTCCAAAACTATGGAGCGGCAGAACACATGTACATGGAGTGACCACTCTGCATCAGATGCCACACTAGGTACTAGTGTGAAGACAACTGAAATCCTAATTAAGGGTGTTACAGTCCTTGCTTTCTCCCAGTTCTTCCTCTTAAGGAAGTCTTCTTACATTGACTCTTTGGAGACCAGCTGTCATCAGCCCAAAGGTGAATGATTAACTCTGGGCATATGATCCCCAGAAAAGGCTGAACTGCTAGGCATCCAGATTCAACACTGGGGCCATAGTTCAGGTATGAGCTTGTTCAGAGAATGCACATTTTGAAAGGAATTATTCTAGCAGACAGGTGCCACCTCCTCCTCTAGGTAGGTGCCCAAAGGATTTTTTTCAAACATTCATATTTGTACATAGAACACAGAGAAGCCTCTACAACTATTTATTCAAAAGCTGCTTACTGTTTTGATTTTTGGTTGTTTCATTTTTTGTTTTCCTCCAACAGGTATGAAGATGATAAAAAAGAATGGGCTGGGATGTTGAAGGAAATTCGTTATGCTTCAGGAGCTAGTTGCCTGGCAACACGTTTAAATCTCTTCAAACTGTCTAAACTATAAATAAGATGACAAAATACAATAGCTTGAGGGGTGTTTTGTTTTGTTTTTTTTTGATAATGGAGTTTTAAGTTTTTAAAAACCTGTATAGAGATTCATGTAGAAATTCTTCCATGCTATTATCTAAGAGGTGTAGAGAGAATCAATACGTTTACCACCGGCTCTTCAATATAACTGAGTTTAGAACCATTTTTTTTAAGAAAGTTAATGTTTATTTGAACAAATTATGTTAATCCATCTCACTCAAAATGTAAAGGAGTTTGAATAATTAATCCTTTGTATTGTTAAGGTACTTTTACAATTTGTTTTCTATTATAAATGAAATGCTTAGATCTGCATTTTTTAAAGTGTCTCACATATCAAAAACCTTTCCTCATGCTTCAAGCTACAGGAACCCTGTGCATTAATGATATGCCATGAGATGATTTGGAAATAATATTTAAGAAATGTAATAAATGAGTCTTATGTGAAGGAGAAAGTCTCAAGTAAAAGTAGTCAAACCCAAGTGGCCTTTCTTTTTTCTCTCCTCCCTTCTTGCAACACCAACATATTGTGATTTCCAAAGGAAACATTTTAAACTTTTTTTTTTAAGCCAGTAAACTGTAGTCCTCAGGCTTTTGGTACAGATTCTGTGGTAGGGCTGAGGAACACCATGATGAAATACGTGATCCTTTAAGGTTCTTGGCTCCAATAGACTGTGGAAAAGGGTATAAACATTTAAATTTCTGCTATCCTTTTGCAAATAGGTAGAAAACAGACTACCTATTTGCAGATTTCTGATAACAAGAAACCAGGTATGGTGGCCAAGTGCCTGTATTTCCAGCTGCTCAAGAGGCTGAGGCAGGAGGCCTGCTTGAAGGCATGTATTCAAGACCACTGTGGGCAACACTGTCTCACCTTTGCCAACCTAACATAAAAAATTTGAAAAGTGACTATGATTCCATTTTCTGGGATGTAAGGTTCTTCAGTCATTGTTTCTTCTTAGTGTACGTATGTTGACGCCTTTGTCCGTCAACTCTATGTAAGTCATAAGCTAATCATCACATTATCCTAACCACACATCCATGTAAGGGTCACATGTAGCTCTCATGCTCATTTTTTTAAATAAGTTTTTTATTGTGAAAATACTGTCCAGAGGGGTTACCTGAGCAAGGTAATGAGTATACTTCTTATCCACTATTGTTGCTTCCTTGTTTTTCCCCACCATCCCTTCCTTACCACCTCCTCAACTACACCCACACCCCATCCACACCCCCAGCCCACCTCACCCATGCCTAAATTGTAAAGTTCGTTTTTTTGACATAGCATCTTGTACATTTCATTGTTGCAATGGGTCAACCTGTATCCCTATTTAAACAATTTGTTTTTTTCCCTTCCCCTCCCCAAATTATACCAATATCAAATACAGTGAAAACAGTGTTAGACCATGGGGGAGGGACTCTTGCTCATTTTTTGACTTCTAACGTTACACAGTATTTTCTGACAGACATGATTACACAGACAGAAATAATCCATAATTATTTATCCAGTAGTATGTGCCTGTGGCTCACACCTGTAATTTAACTAATCAGGAGATTGAGATCTGAGGATGACCCCTCAAAGCCAGGAAAGTCTGTGAGACACTTACCTCCAGTTAAGCCACCAGAAAACCAGAAGTAGTATGGCCCAAAGTGGTAGAGCACTAGCCTTGAGCGAAAAAGCTCAAGGAGAATACCCACTACTGACAAAAAAAAAAAAATAGGTAAGTGTTCATATAGCTTTATTTTCTCTATCATAAGTAAGGAACCAAAGCCTAATCCCTGTCCCTAGAAATTCAAACTTAATTGGTCTGTGAAGGAGCCAAATATTAGAATTCTTTTCCAAATATCCCAGATGATTAGAATGCATTGAAGCTGGAAAATGAATATGGAAATACATATTCAAGAAAAATCTGCATTTTATAAATTTAGAAACTATCTGATTGCTTTTCTATACTAAAAATACTGATCTGGCCTGGCATAGTGGCTCACACTATTAATATATAATCCCAGTACTTGGGAGGCTAAGGTAGGAGGTTCACAAGTTCAGGGCCAGCCTGAGCTAATAAAAAAGGATGAGCAGTTGGAAGTATCACTCAGCTGATAGAGAGAAAGGGCCCATCAATGAATGAAAGTGGTCAGAAATGAAGCTTAAGTCCTGGTCCTTATCAAAACAAAAAAAAGAAAGAGCAGGAAAAGAGGTAGAGAAGAACAAAGGAAGAAGATAGGGAGGAATGAAGGGAGGAAGGGAAGGTGGGAGAAGAAAAGAAAGGAGGGAGGGAAGGAAACATGAACTGTACCATGAATACACAACAAATCCCAAAGATAGATAACTGTATGCAAGTTCAACAGTCAAATTGTTAGAAGGAGAAAACAATAGACAGTTAATGGTGGCACACAAAATGTAATCCCAGCACTCAGGAAGCTGAGGCAGAAGGATCGTGAGTTTGGGCCAGCCTGGACTACATACTTGTCCCCGGTGGGAAGTGGAAGGAGGGAGGACTTGAAAGGGTGAACGAACAATACAGAAATTTATTACAGGCGGTTCACACTGGTTATCCTAGCTACCTGTAATCCTCTTGAGAGGCTTAGATCTTAGGATCTAGGTTCAAAGGCAGCCCAGGGCAGGAAAGGCTGTGAGACTCATTTCCAATAAACTACCCCACAAAAGCCACAAAAGGAGCTGTGGCTCAAATAGTAGAATTCTAGCCTTGAGCAAAAAACCTCAGGGACTGTGCCCAGGCGCTGAGTTCAAGCCCCAGGAAAGGCACACACAAAAAAAGAACTTACCAATGAAGTCAGGAGACTTCATTGGGGAGAGAATGCTGACCTAGGTAGACAATTCTTTTTACAGTGTTTCTTTGGGTATGGTAGAAGTGATAAAATACAAATACACTATAAATCATTGGATTGGGTGTGTGCATATATACATGTTAGTATAAGAGGAGCATGTGGCTGTGATATTTGCCCCACATTGATCACCAGGCTTGATCTGGCTAGCTAGAGATTCTATTTATTTTTTGGCAGTCATGGGGCTTGAACTCTGGGCCTACACGCTGTCCTTGAGCTCTTCAGCTCAAGGCAAGCACTCTACCACTTGTGCCACAGTGTCACTTCTGATTTTCTGGTGGTTTATTGGAGTTAAAGAGTCTCAAGGACTTTCCTGCCCAGGCTGACTTTGAACCATGATCCTCACATCTCAGCCTCCTGTGTAGCTAGGATTACAGGTGTGAGCCACTGGTGCCCAGCTTAGAGATTCTATTTTTTTCAAAAGGTTTTATAAGGTTCACTAGTATAAAAATCATTATCAACTCATGGCAAAGCCATTGGATATTTTAAACATGTACTTCAGAGGTCCTGAGGGAGCTGTGCAGTTACAAGGGACTCAGGCAACTGCAGCTGCTTCTGTGTAAGGATTCAAGAGGCTTGACACAAGAGCTAGACACAGAATCTACAAGCACCTTGATCTGGGCCTTTCCAACCCCCAGAACTGTAAAAGTAAATATCCCTTGCTCATACCACACAATCTGTAGTATTGTTATTTCAGGACAAATGAACACATTCCTTTTTTATAGCTGAATTTTAAGATCCTATATAGGGACATAAATTCTACTGGGAATTTATAGTCTCAAAAAAAAAAAAAAAAAAAGGATATGCCAGGTGCCTGTGGCTCATACCTTTAATCCTAGCCACTCAGGAGTCTGAGATCTGAGGATAGCAGTTCAAAGCCAGCCCAGGGAGGAAAGACCATGAGACTCTCATCTCCAATAAACAACCAGAAAACCGGAAGTGGAGCTGTGGCTCAAGTGGTAGAGTGCTTGCCCTGAGCGGAAGAGCTCAGGGACAGTGCCAGGCCCAGAGTTCAAGCCCCATGACTGACAAAAAAAAAAAAAACAGTTGTATCAAAAATAGAGCATGGAGTTCATTTGTAACCAAAGACTACCACATTCTCTGCCTCTGAAAACACTGGATAAACCCTGAATCTTCTCCATGTGCCAAAAGCTATTTTTTTTGTGCCAGTCATGGGGCTTGAACTCAGGGCCTGAGCTTTTTTGCTCAAGGCTTTTTTTGGGGGGAGGGGATTAGTTAATTGGAGATGAGTCTCACAGATTTTCCTGCCTAGGCTGACTGTGAACCATGATCCTCAAATCTTAGCCTCCTGAGTAGTTAGGATTACAGGTGTGATCGGCCAGCATCAGGCAAAAACACATATAGCTTTTAAACTATGCTTATAATAGAAGGCACTATAGTTACCAACTGTGGAACAAGTGCATTTACAATTTAGAGGATACTGGGGTCAAAAGACAGCTAAGTTTCAGATGTCCCTCCTCCATCTATCCATCCTACACCATAGCTTCCCCAAGAGCACAAATATTATCAGTTAAAAGATGGACTTGGGGGAGGCTGGGAAGGTGGCTCAGTGGTAGAGCACTTGCCTTGCATACATGAGGCCCTGGGTTCCATTCCTCAGCACCACATAAGCAAAAAGAAAAAAGCCGGAAGTGGCGCTGTGGCTCAAGTGGTACAGCTTG